GGCAACAAATAAAATAGAGTCGCATAAAAAGCAACAACAACCACAAACACATCAGCAGCTGAAAAACTTGTCGCTGCCTTCGACTGAAACTTACAAAACAGCTGACACTTACAGAGTGGAGGAGGGGATGGGAACATTTGTGACTCCTGTCCGAGCTTAGTTATTTCTATTTTTATTAATGCCCAAATGCCAACAGATTTGATAAGCCCAAACACTTATAGCCACCAATAAAATGCTGGCTGGCCAGTCTTAATGGGTGTCAACAAGACAGCCAATAATAATACACAGACAACGGCTCTCTGCTCTCTGGCTTCGCCTCGTCGCCTCCTCTCTCCATCTCCTTCTCCTTCACTGTTTTTTAACAATTTTACGAGCACTTTATAACCGTTTAATAGCTCGAACAATGAGCTAGCAGCCCCCGAGGGCCCCCCCCCGCCACTCTACGAATTGAGCTCACAATTGACGCACTAGAGACGCACACTTGAGCCGTTACCAATACATTGACAAACTATATTGCTATAGATGTATAAATATATATATATATATATTGGCTAATGGCATGATGAATTATGGCACCACAACTAAAGACAAGTTGCCTGCCGACCTGGCCCCAGTCCCAGCTCCCGCCCCAGCCCCCGCCCCAGCCTCTGCCTGTTTGTCTAACTGTTCAGCTGTCTTTCCTTCTGACTTGACTTGGACAAACTGCGATTGTCCTTTGTGCCAAGCATCCGATACACCCACACAGGCACCCACAAACACACTCACACACACACAGAGAGAGAGAGAGAGAGACACAGACAGTGGATGAAAAGAGGAGCAAAACGTGTGCATTGACACTTCCGTATTAGACACACGCGCCTTGTGGCTGACGTGGTGTATTGCTGTGTGTGTGTGTGTGTGTGCTTTGTGTATAGTCCCTATCTGTGTGTGTGTGCGCGTGTGTTTGCCACGCAGTCAGTCGGTCAGAGCTTAAAATGGAGCCAACTAAGAAAATATTGCCCTTAGAAAGCGAAACTATTTTTGCTTCGACACACAAAACAAAAACAAAAAAACAAAAAAACATTTTGCTGGAAAATGCTCTAATTAAGACAATTGATACAATCTCAAGATGGAAAATACTAAATGAGTGAACGATTAGCTTCATCAAAGATAACTTTGTCAACAAATTTTCAGAATAGAGATATATCTATAAAATTAAATAAATACATATTTAGCTTGTCTTTTTAGAAAACGAGAGCATGAATTTAAATTTATTTTTAAATTTAAAAAGTAAAAATTAAATTTAAATTAAATGTTATTTGAGCTTTAAACATTTCTATATTAGCAAATGCTCGCTGTAAAATTAATGAAAAAGAATTGATAAATTGTTTATTGACTTATTAAAAAATATAAGAGTAGAACCTAAGGCTGACAATTATGTTTCTGGGACTTAATAAATAGAAACTAAATAAAAATAAATAATAATAATAAAAAAAAAACATAAGAAGTGTTAATGAAATAAACAATAGTTCAATATGTTTATTAACTATATTGTATACCTATATGATAAATATTAATTAATCTTATTTTAAATTACTTTAAGAAACATATTAAATAAAAGTAAAATCTGTCAATTATTTTCTTGAGACTTAATTAAATTAATGCAGCACATCTATACTGAAAATAAAAAAATTAAAAAATAAATTAAATATTTAAATATTTAAAAAATATATGGCACCATAATTTGCTTATTGACTTATAAAATAAATATATTAAATTAAATTACAATTTTCACCTTTTTAAAAATATATTGGAGAAATAAATATCACCTTTGGTTATTTATTAACGAAGAATAATAAATTAAATTAATTCACAATTATCTTTTTTTATTAGTTACACCTATTATATAAAAACATATACACCCATCAAAATTACAAATTAAATTAAATGGAAATTCTATTTTTTACCAAATGCATAATACTATATACTTGCAATGAGCTTAAGTATTTATTTCAATTAATTGCTGTCAGTATTTAATTATAATATATTCCTTTATAATGTCAAATAACTGACGTGAGAGTAAAGTTGGTAATTCAATCAACCAAAAATCACCTGCTAATTTACTGCTTTAAACGCAGACACTGTGAAACCAACTAAGCCAACAATTGGACAGTTTGAAACCAGTCAGGTCTAGAGTTATTCATACGTGTACATGCTATACGAGTATATGCTGTCAACATTAATTAGTTGACGCCCATTAAATTTCATATAAATAGTCCAAAGTTGAATAAACCCACAAATTGCGTCTGTGCATTGAACCGTTTTAGGTTTCGGCATCGGGCAAAGGTGTGCTAATCACCGGCTGTGACGCGCCTTTGGCCTGGTATCTGGCTAAGAAATTGGACGATCTGGGCTTTACGGTCTATGCGGGCTTTGCGGCGTCCATCGAAGACTCCGACGAGGCCAAAATCCTGAAGGAGGAGACATCGGGACGCATGAAGCTGTTGAATGTGGACGTTACCTCCGAGAAGAGCGTAAGTCCACAAACAAATAAAAAGTGCTTATTAAAGCTTTTAGCCGAGACTCAAACCATTTCCTGTACGCGTGTGCTTTGCAGCTTTTGGAAGCGGCCCGTTATGTCTCGCAGCATTTGCCACATGGCGCCGAGGGCCTGTGGGCCGTAGTGCACGGCGCCACTTGGATTGCGCTTGGTGAGCTGGAGTGGATTCCGTTTACCGTGCTGCGCAAAAGCTTGGATCTCAATCTACTCGGTAAGAGATGGCGCCACTGTGCGTTGGCCACGAAGTTGTGCTTTTTTGTTGAAGGGAAATACGTATTTCCCTTTCTCATATTATTATTGGAGCTGGAATTTATATTAGGATCTCTTTTTAATTTCAACTCTGCCTATAACTGTAACTTATTCGAATTTCTCTTCTTAGGCGCCGCTCGTCTGACTCAAATCTTTTTGCCACTGGTGCGCCGCGCCCATGGGCGTGTGGTGTTCCTTACCTCTGGCCTGAACCGTGTACCCTCGCCGGTGCGTGGCATCCAGTGCGCCACTCAGGCGGCCGTCGACTCCTTCGCTGCCTGTCTGCGCCAGGAGATGCGCACACGTGGGGTGGATGTGTCTGTGGTGGCGGCGGGCGAGTTTGCACCTGGCAATGGCTGGCTCAACGATACGGAGCTGCGCGAACAGGTAAGTTGCCAGAGCTTCCTTGCAGTGCCACAAGCCAGTCGAGCTGCTGCCCATTTCGTGCTTAATGGGGTGGACGGACCAGAGGGTAGAGCAGCGGCTCGCCTTGGCTTGTTTCAGTTTTTACGATAATGCGCCAGCTGGGACGGCTGGGGTGGCTGGGGTGGTGCAAGGGCTTGGATGGTGCACATTAAAATAGTTGCAGATGGCCGACATGAGTGAGGGGCTCATTAAAACTCTCGTTTGCTTCGCAGGCCAAGCAAATGTGGAACCAGTTATCCTCGGAGCAAAAGAAAACCTACGGCGAGGACTACTACGAGGCGGCCATGACATCCGTGGAGAAATACTCGCGCCAGGTAAGCGCACAATCTCAGTCAGAGATTTAGCTATACTGCTATACATATATACATAGTATATATAGTATATACATAGTATATATATATAGATATGTTGATGTTTCACGCTAACGAGCGCTTTATCCTCAGGCCGCTGACATTCAGCCCACGCTGCGCGTGCTCATCGATGCCGTGACTAGGACCTTCCCCATGGCCCGCTACACGCCCGTCACTGCCAAGGAGAAGCTGCAAATATTCTTGGCCGAACACTTGCCGCCCTCACTGTACGAGTCCATCTATGGCGAGCAAAAGAAATTTGTCTATTAAAAATATTTTGTTTTGTTGCCCATTTCCGTTTCCGATTCCGCTTTCGTTCCCCCCCTGTCTTCTCTTATGACCCAACCCACTTGACGACGCCTCTGCATATTGTTTCCTTCCCACGAAATTGTTATTATTTATCTACTGCTCCGCTATGGTCTAAAGCGCATTTAAGATGAGGCAACGCGTTGTCCCTACTCACTGAGCATTTAGCGTTTCTCTTCGTATAACTAGATATATTTACTTTATCATCTATCTCAGTCTATCAATTCTATTCCCCCCTCTCTCTCCCTCGCTCCCTATCTCTGAAAATCTGCGTCACTCGAAATTTCTATTTTTGTTCTGTTTCCTTATAGTTCGTAGCGTGAATTGTAAATCATATACATACATATAACAATAAATAAAACCAAATGATAACATTAAAAAGCAATTCTGGTTTATCTTGTTTAGTTTTTAGAAGCTTTACATTTATATAAATGCAATAAATTACAAGGCTTAGCAGGTAAGCTATGGGAATATTAAATAGTTTTTGTAAAGAATATAATATTATTTCAATATAAATAGAAGCAAAATTGAGCTAAAAGTGGATTAGTTTTTTGCAGTCTTTTTTGATGTATTGTATTACGTATTTACGATTTTTCAGTAATAATTATTAAAAATATTCGAATTATTAAACAATTTTAATGATATCCAAAAATTAATTATCTTATCAGTTTCAAATAAGTATAAACTTAATACTTCTCAACTTTAATACTTCAAGAAGTTTAGTCCTTAAGAGAACTATTGAACAGAAGAAGCTCCTAAGAATGTCACCTAATAATTATAAATAATAAAATACATAAGTTATTTAGCATATCAACAGCGTATAGAGTTAATCCGATTTAACTATGCATGTTTGTTTGCCTATATATCAGTTTGTATGTGTGTCTGTAAATCTGTCTCTCTGTCTAACTCAGCCTGTCTCTCTGCCTAAGAAGAGCTAGGTACTATGGAGAGCTACAGAAGATCATCTAAGTATGCAGCAGTACTCAGTAAAACGAAGCTAGCATCGGAGAGTGCTCCCATTCGTCACTTAGAGCACGACTGCAACGAGCTCTACCTGGCGTCGGACTCAACATTTGAGAGAGACAGTACTTGAGTGAATGTGGCCCTATATAAAGGGCAGCAGCTGCAGCATTTCTTCAGTCGTCCAGGCCTGATGGGGGTGAGCGGTGCAGTTCAGTAAAGTGAAATAAAGTAAAGTGAGAAGTCTGATCGTTCAGCTAAGCACTTAAGACATGGAGGAAAGACATGGTGACATGACATGGTGGAAAAACTTGGAGGAGAGACATGGAGGAAAGACATCGAGGTAAGACTTAGTGAAAATACTTAGTGAAAATACTTACTGAAAATACTTAGAGGAATTACTTAGAAGAATTACTTAGAAGAAATACTTAGGAGAAATACTTAAAAGAAATACTTAGAAGAAATTCTTAGAGGAAAGCCTTAGGGAAAGACTTGCAAGAAATACTTAGAGAGACTTTTTATCAAATTATTAGTTATTAAATAATGAATAACAAAACTAATTCCATTTCATTTAGCTATACTTCACAAAAGTAGCCTCTGTGCTTAACTTGACCCCACTTTAACTTCGATAAGTTAATTGTATTTTCTTTAATTTATTTTATACAACACTTAACGATTTCATTTAATACAAATTGACTTCTGCTTGATTGTGTTGTCAGTGCTGTGAGTGCATTGAATGTTGTCTGTGTAGCTGCATAGCTATATCGCACTTTGCAGTCGACTCGACGTCTGTCTCGTTTACTTTTAGAAATCGCCACTCAACCGCATTAGCCACATTCACACACACAAACATATACACACACACATACACACTCACATTTCGTTGCAGATAGAGAGAGAAATGCAGCTAAAAATTGGCTGACTGGGTAAGCTTAAGTGCAGTTCGATGCGCATTTCGCACGCCAGCTCAGACAGCAGCTCATGAAAATAAATTCAATAAATTTTTAATACATCTGATTCAGCAACAATGACAGCGGCATAGCGTTTTGGGCAGCACTTCCCGCCGCACAGCCAACAGCCAACAGCCAACAACCAACAACCGTCAACCGCGCTTCAAGGCCAGAGGCAGCTAAAGTGGGGAGCTCAGGTGAGCAAACAAAATCTCCTGACAGCTCAATGAGCTGTGCCGCATGGGCAGGCGAGGCCGAGGGCGAGGGCGGGTGTTTGAAAGCGTATAAAACTAGCGGTAACAGATACCAAGGAGCGCATAACTTTTGCATAAATCTCTCATAGTTGTTAATGCAAACCGCGCCTGGCAGCCCCCAGTCGCCAGCCATCAAAAAGCAGCCAGCAGCTGGCAGTTGGCAGTTGGCTGGCGTCGCACGTTCGAACTTTTCGACAAACAACACGAAATAAAAACAAATATAAAAAAAAAAAAAAAAAAAAAAAGAAACAAGAAAAGGAAAAGGAAACAGAAAAAAGGCTGCATGGGAAATGAGCTGGTTAGCTAAAAATATATGTAGATATGTTCATGTAGCTAAAACAAAATAAAAAGGTACCCACAGAACTCAACACAACGACCCTGATAAGTTTTTGAGCCACTGACCAGTGGCGTGCACATGTACAGTTAGACACACGTACGTATATCACTCACGCCCTGACATTCTACCTTTTCGTTTTCACACAAATATTTCCATCTATTGAAAATGTGTGCATGCATCCATCTGTATACATAAATCCAAATCTATTGTCGCTTTGTCTGTCAAGCCATGTTCCAATGTGTGTGTGTGACTGTGTGTGTGTGGGTGAGAATTTGTTATATCTGTTTGGGTGCGTGTGTGTGTGTATTGTATGGCCATAGGGGCTCGGGTCATGCGTTAAGATAAGCATATTTGCATCAGGTTGATAGTGTGACATTTAGAACAATTGAATTTGAATTTGAGAATTCATCGAATAACTGCAAAATTAAAAACAAATTTGTAAAATGTCGTAGAGACTTTATTGAAAAAATATTTTAGATAATTTAAGAGGATACTCAAATAGAATAGTATTTAGTTCAAAATAAGTCTATATTCAGTGCATGGCACAATGGCGCTATTGGCTAGATCAAATATATATTAAATGTCTATTCAGCTGCGGTCATCAAAATAGTAACGGTGCACCACTCAGTTGAGTAGGCGTGGCACCAAACACCTCTGCGCAGGTGGCAAGCCGCAATAGAATACAATGTACTTATAACTTAGTATTAAACTGAAAATTATGTTTCTATTAATAACTATATTTTCGTTTCCTTCTATGCTAACGATCAATAAAAATACAAATATTATGAATACTAAATATATTTATCTTATTTTTAATTTCAAATGAGGGGTTTACCCCATAGTAATGTTAACTAGCATTTAGTGCTCTACTACTACGACTATTACTATTTAAATGACCGCAGTTGTACGTATGTAACGTAGCAACAGAAGCATTGTCAAGCGGTGTGGCATTCTAATTACACAATCTTAACAGTGTGGCAGCACAAATGCAAGCAGTAGAGTTTAGTGGAATGTTGATAGAGGCAAGATTCATACGATGAAGATTGAGAGGGGTTTAAGTAGTCACAATTAGTTGAAGCTGTCTAATTTCACTTAACTTGAATTCAATTTGAATTATATTTCCAATACTCTGTTTAATTTGATTAGTAATCTACTCATTGAATTAGGCACACAATTATATACTCAATACTTACTTAATTTTTATATACAAATATATTACGTATACGCCACAGAAACAGAGGCGCATTTACAAAAAAGGCAATTTTTATATTAATTAGAGAACTTCTTAAATATAAAGCACATAAATTGAGCTTATCAACTTTTACAGAGAAATTTAAATAAATGATCAAATATAAATTGACATCAAGACAACAAAATTTGGGACAATACAAAACAATTCTTAACAATTAAATTAAGAATAGAAATTTTTAAATAATACATTCACATTCGATTGCGTATAGGCCACCATTAGGTAGAAATGTCAGTACAAATATTATTTCGAGAACTGCTTAAATTAAAATAAACTTTATGGATTTTTCATCTTTTAGGGGGAAATATATACATATATAAAAGATAAAATATTAATGGACTTCAAGAAAACGAAAACTGCCAACACACACTTGTATAAATTCTCATTAACAATTAAATCAAAAATACTCAATTTAAATATTACCTTCACATTAGATTAACTTTTACAAATTTTTTAAAAGTCCCTTTCGCATATTAAATATGTTGATGTCGAAAATTATAATTCGATTTATGTTCATTGCCGTTCGTTAACTGTTCCACTGCATCATCACGTCAATTCAATTAGGTAAAAAAAATAAACAAAATCTGCTGAAATTATAGGTTTAATTCAATTTAAGCAACTCAGCTGGTTTCTGTATGCAGTATATCATTTAGTCGAATGCGCTTTAGCCAGCTGCTCCACGCCTCTTTCAATTGTTGCCCATTTATCAAACACCACGTCCGCCCTGGGCATTCCTGCGCACCGTTTTCGTATAACAGTTCTAGTTATTTGGTTGTTTGTGCTTTTCGCTTTTATTTTTGTTCATGCCACACACAAACAGACACACACACATATGCATATATATATATATATATATATATATATATATATGTGTGCATATATACACACTCAACACTCAACAGCCCTTGGGCCACTTTGTAGAATACTTTAGTGACTTTGGATCGTTTACCTGGTGCAAAAATAAATAAAGTTTTCAACATGTTGTTAAAGATATTACGCGTGTTTTTGCATACGCTGCTATCAAATTAACCCCAGCCAGTCTAATAGTTGATAAGCCCCATTTAAACTGGCTAAGCCTCGAATGGCATTCCATTTGCTTTAAGCTGCCACCCAGAGGCCGAGCCCGAGCCCGAGACTCATTCATGCTGCATCAGGCACTTTGCATAATTGGAATTGCACCAACAGCTGAATAGCTAGACATCTGGACATCTGGACATCTGGACGGCGGCAACTCGATTTGCTCGTCAGCAAATATGTTAGACAAAGGCTCGAGCAATTTGTGGTCCTCGGGCTGTCGCAGGACCTTTGACATTTGCCCATGCATTGTCATCAGCGAATCAATCGCATTTCCACAATTGACTTTTATTAACTGCTCTCGGCCATTCAACTGCAATTAACTTGACCCACGGCCAGCCTCATCAACATATTCATATTGCACAGTCAACGGCCACTGCGATACCCAATGCAAATGCAAATGCCAGTTTTATGTGTAACTAAGAGTTTTCTCAAACCGTTTAGCATATTTCGAGGGAAATATGCAAACAACTTGCAGCTGGCTATAAGAACTTGGCAAATCCAGGGAAAATGGCGCAAAGGAAAATTGAAAGTTTCAAGCAATGCGACTATAATAGATAGCTTAAACTGATTTTAAATTGCTAATTTTACTGCTGAGATAGAAAATGTAAAACAAGTTGAAAACTGGAAGCTAAAAAGTGCTGTACAAAAAAAAAAAAAAAAAAAAAAAAAAAAGTTATCAAAAATAATATATAGATATGAGTCTTTTCTTGTCTTTAAAAATTTTTACAAAAATATAAATATAAATATATATGTACAGCTCTATAAATTTAAATGATTGAAAAATAATTTACTTACTTTACTTACTTACCTACGCCAACTTTTTTAATTATCTGCCAGGTAATTTATTATATAGCCCATTCGATTCCAATAAAACACACAGCGTCTAACACATTTAATCTCAATTTATTGTGAAACTCACAGACAACGCAAAAAGTATTCGTACATTTATCTTATTTGCCAATTTCACCAAACTTTCAAATCTATCGATTTTGTGATGTAAAATGTGCACAACGAAGCAAATAGTTTGCATTGTAATCGTAAATTGCATTTCAATTTGTCTCTGAATGGTTTTTCATTTGATATTCCTTTCATGCTTAATTGCTAAACAAAGTGCAGTGAATAAAACATACACAGACACACACACAAACATACACATACACACGTATTATAAAACATATATTTATCTTCGGCTTTTACATTTAAAATTATCAACAATTTCCACACTTCAATTTTTCATTTTTCATTTTTCCTGCTTGCGCTTGGATTTAAATTTAATTTTAATTGAATTGCGTGCAGTTTTCTTTTATTTCAAATATCAAATTGCTCCCTATTAACCGAAATGCTGTGTGCTAAATTTACAGACAAATTTGATATATATATATGTATATACTATATTGAAAATACAAATACACCAAGTTTGCACAGACATCAAATATATATAAATATTTATTGAGATTTTCTATAGAGATCTGGCACACGTGTTTATTGTTTAGATTGTACTCACACACACATACACATACACATCATGCTTATATACTCACACAGCTGCGATTGCTTGAAGCAACTACACTTGATTTGAAGTAAATTGGTTAGGGTAGACTAGATTGCACTTTGGTCTATATCTGTTGCATATTGGTCTAGGAACAGGCTAGTTTAATTAATCGTACGTACTCACACCTGTGGCAAAGGTAAGTTTCCAAAAATATTATTATCTCGTACATATATTGTAGATGTGGGTGTGTGTTTGAAAGTGCTATACAACTAGAGAGTACATATAATACATGCCTATAAGCTACGGATCAACTGCCCATATCGTCGCCCCCCTCGTAATAAGTGCTATCAAAACATACTCCAAAAATACCCGAAATCTCTCTCGGCTTGACATACAAAACTCTTACAAATCTCCTTACAAATCTATCATAAGCGACGGTTCACTGTGCTATATCCCCCATATACATAGGTGTAGGAATTTTACTAGGTAGGTGTTACTAGGTGTTTCAAATCGAGTGGACACAAAGATGCTAAGAACACGGCTAAGTGCAAACAAATTGAATAAGTCCTTTAGCAGGACAACTCCGTGGATAGGCGCGCTGCCTCGCTCTGAACACAGTAGTCGCTGTCCTTCAGCTCGCGTCCTGTGATGTCTGCCAGCGAATTGGGATCCATGTTCGACAACTTGTCCAGGTCGGCATCGTTGATCAGATTCTGCTGCAGCTTGCCCACCAATTTGCGTAGGCGCTGGGCATCCAGCGAAGGGCGACGCAAGTTTGCATTGTAGTCGCTAGGCTGTTGAGGGAGAGAAGAGAGTGTAGTACAGTGAAGCTTGTTTAAATGGCACAGCAACAGCCACAGCCACAGCTTACATCTCGCCACTGTTCGCCGGGAAATACAGCAATCAACTCCGCATTCGCCTCCAGTGTGGAAAAATACTCCTCATCATCAATTTCGGTGCCATCGCAATCCAAATGAATCGCCGGCTGAGCCCTTTGAAACTTTGCGGCCACCTTGAGGCGCAGCTCGGCCAATGTTGT